ACTGAACTCAGGCCCTTGCGCTTGCCAGGGAAGCGCTTATTCCACTGAGCCATCTCTCCGGCCCTACCAGTATATTTGGCTATGTAAAAATTAAGAAATTTTCATCATTACAAGACACTTCAAAAAAATACTGGTTACAAGTGGGGCGTGGTGAGGCGCCTCCCTGTCATCCGAGCACTTGGGAGGCTGAGGCAGGAGGATTCCTGTGAGTTCAAGGCCAGCCTCGGCTGCACAGTGGGACCCAGGGTTTGTTTTGGCTTAGTTTAGGGTGGTTTTTTTGGGGGGCTTGTGTGAGACAGACTCTCACTCCGTAGCTCAGGCTGGCTTTGAACTGGGAGGGCTTCTCCCGCCTCAGCGCCCCCCCGCCCTTCACACTGTCCCCTGCGTCGGCCTTTATGTCCCCAGCATTATGTCATAGCTGTTCCCGTGGAGCTGCGGCTGAGCTCTTCTTCACTTTGTGGTAATGAACACACAGTTGTGTGAATTACCAAGGTGGAACGTGGGTGCTGAGGCCGTGTGCAGTGCGGCTCGGTTACGTCACCGTAATTAACGTGTCCGTGCCGTGCGTGACATTTCTTTGTGGTGACAGCTCACTCAAAAACCAGTCAGCCCATTCATGCCGGAGGTGGCACGCAGCGGGCCTGCCCTGCTGGCACTGGGGAGGCTGAGGCAGGAGGGTCTCCGCGGACTCACGGCAGCCTGTGCCACGCTGGCTCAAGAAAACCGAAGTAAATAAAATCTGGACTTCCGGATTCCCTGTCGCAGGGCCATCGAGAGTCCCTGTCCTGCCCCGTGGCGTGTCCCCCAGCCCTGGACCTGGAGTATCGGGGCATCCCGGGGTCTCATCTGCCTCCTGCCGGTGCATGCAGGCGTGGGCGTGTGCATGTTGAGTGGTGTATGTTGGGGGTACTGTGCTCGGTAGCGCCTGGCACGCATGTCACGTGGTGTAGTGTCGTGTGTGTGTGTGTGTGTGTGTGTGTGTGTGTGTGTGAGACGGCGACATGTACCAGGAACGGAACGTTCTGGAATGCAAGGCGGCTGCAGCTCGGGACCCTGAGGTGGGCCCGGCAACACGCAGGGACCCTGGCGGGGGACCCCTCCGGGCACCGAGGAGTGTCACTCACCGCCGCCGGCCCGGGTCCACCCTTCCGTTCTCTCACCCCCCACGTGGTCCCAGCCCACGACGTCCCCGTCCTTCTCCTGTGGAAGGTTCTGGAGCCTGCCAAGATGGCTGCCCCCAGGCGGTGCGCCCCAGCGTGCTCCTCCCCGGGGCTCCGGTGGGAACAGTGAGGCGAACGTGAGCCTGAGGTCCTTCTTCATGCCGGCCGGGCAAGATGGGGCACACGTGTTCAGTCCTGCACCCAGGAGGCTGAGGCAGGGAGAGCCGCACCAGGCCAAGGCCTGGGCTGCAAGGGAGACCCTGCCTGGAGGAACGAAACTGACTCATGGTGCCGGTTTCCTGGTCCAACAGGAACTCCCTGGGGAGTTCAGCTGCAGGAGGCAGCGCCCTTCTCGGTGTGTCTGTGCCCTGGCCTCTTATTAGAGGGACCCGGGGCTGTAGATGGATGGATGAAAGGAATATTATACAGCCAGGAAAAGAGACAGGCTCCGGCTGGACCCAGGGCACCGGGAGTTCACTGACAAGCACCAGATGCACAAGGGCACGGAGTGTGCAGAACAGGCAAGAGCAGAGGCAAGAATAGGACAGAGAGGCGTCGTAGAGGCGGCTGGTGATGTTTCGAGGCCAGGAGAAAGCTGTGGGTGTCAGAGGGGATTCTGGTCGTGGTGCAGACTTGGGCGGCGGGGCGGATGGTGGTGGTGCCCAGAGGATTTGGAGGCGAGGGCAGGGAGGTGGCAGCCGCCCTGGGCTGCAGAGGTAGCAGAGGCCGGGGTGGGAATGGAGCAGGTCCTGCAAAGCCCGCTGGTGGAGGAGGAGGAGGACAGCGCGGTGACAGGCAGTGGGGACTCTTGGGGACAGCCGCCGAGGGAAGGGACAGCATCGCTCGATCCGCTGCGGCCTGGAGGGGTCTCAGCCCCGCGCGCCGGCTGGAGCCAGCGCCCCCCACGTGACGGCTCGAGAGCTCTGCGTTCCGGAAGCTCTCAGGGGGACAAGGGCGCTCGGGGACCAGAAGAGCCCAGCGAGGGGGCCCTCAGCGCGGCCCTGCTCCCCGCGCCGCCGCCCGCCCGCCGAGTGTTTGTTTTGCAAGTCCGGTCCGGCGGGAGCTGCGAGGCGAGGCTGGACTGACGGCGCCCTGCACCCTGCTGACCCGCGGCAGCGACCGTCCTGCCTCGGCCTCACCCCGAGTGCGGCCGCAGGAGGCTCAGGCGGGCGAGTCCGGGCTCTGCCGCCACCGGGAGGAGCAGCAGAGCGCGGGGGGCGGCGAGCGACTCGGTGAGACCCCGTCCTGCGGGGACCCCAAGCCGGGCGGCCGCAGCCGGGCGGTCCTGCCAGCCCGGGGAGGCTGAGGCGGGAGGATCTCCGGCGGAGGAGGCGGGGCTGGCCGCACGCAGAGCGAGACCCAGCGAGAGCACGAGAGCACCCGGAGACGGTGGCGGGGACGTCACGCTGGGAGCGGGAGGAGGGGCGGGGTGACCGCGCCCCCGACACAGCGCGGCCCTCGGGAGGAGCCCGCCCGCCGCGCAGGGCAGACCAGGGCGCGAAGGGGGCTCGGCGGCGAGGACGAGGACGCGCGGGGACACGGGGCGGCGGGGACGGGAGCCGACGTCGCAAGGAGCCGCGAGGACAGAGCTGTTTGCGCCGGGCGGGGCGGCGGGCCGGGTGACCCCAGCCAGGGGCAGCCCGCTGCGGAGCCCAGGCTGGGTTGCACTCACGGCGACCCTCCTGCCTCAGCCTCCCGAGGGCGGGGGTTGGCCGGCAACGGAGTGCCGATCTGGGGGGCAGGGGCCCGTGTGGCGGGGATGCGGGGTGCAGTTCTCGTGTGGGGTGGGGGTGGGGGCGGTCGGGGGTGCCGAGGCAGGCACAGGGAGGCTGAGGCAGGCTTGGGTGGCCCGCCACACCACCGTCGCCCCCCCCACGAACGCAGGGGCACTGGGGTTCTGGGGCCTCCCCGCCCTGGGGCTGGGGCTCCCCCTGCTCCCCGAGGCCCCCGGGGCCCTCCCGTGTCCCTGTCCCTCCCTGCAGCTCGGGGCCACCCAGTTTCCGGGACATGTGGAGGGCTAGGGCGGGAGGTGACACAGGTGACAAACTGAGGGAGGTGATGGAGGTGACACGGGCGGGGAGGTGACACGGGCGGGGAGATGACACAGGCCAGGAGGTGACACAGGCCAGGAGGCGACAAGGGGCGGGGAGGTGACACCAGCGGGGAGGTGACACAGGCCAGGAGGCAACAGGGGCGGGGAGGTGACACAGGCGAGGAGGTGACACAGGCCAGGAGGCGACAGGGGCGGGGAGGTGACACAGGCGAGGAGGTGACACAGGCCAGGAGGCGACAGGGCCAGCGCGGCGCCCTCCCGCACTCAGGGCTCAGGCACGAGGCGAGCGCCCGGAAAGGGCGCGGGCGGGACGCGGGCTCACAGCGGCGGCGGCAGCGCAGGCACGCGCGGATTGTGGCCCGACCCGTCCCGGGAGCCCTTGAGGACAAGGACCGGGCGCAGCGACAGATCCCGGGAGCGTCCGTGTCCCCTCCTGTCCCCGCCGCCCCCAGGGCTCCCGCACGCACCGTCTCCAGGCCGATTCCAAGTGAGGGGACCGCCGTGGGTTAGGAGGAGAGGTGGGGGAGGGGCGGGGGATGGAGGGGGAGGGGGGGAGGGGAGGGTAATGGAGGGGAGGGGGGAAGGGGAGGTAACAGGGGAGGAGGGGAGGGGGTGGAGCGGGGAGGGGTGGGACCCCGCCCCCCCCCAGCCTGGTGTCTTGGGGTCCCACGGGGTGCACAGACGCTGCTCAGCTCTGTCCCCGCTGAGGGGACCTGGGACCTGGCGGGACAGTGCTGCGTGGAGGGGCACTGCCATGGGCTGTGGGGAGGGGCTGTTGCCATGGGGTGGGGCTGTTGCTATAGGGAGGGGACTGTTCCCACTGAGGTAGGGGCTGTTGCTATGGGAGGGACCAGTTGCCATGGGAGAGGAATTGCCCTTAAGGGTCTGTGGCCGAGGGAGGCCCTGTTGCTACGGGGAGGGGTCTGTTGCCATGGGGCGGGGCTGTTGCTACGGGGAGGGTCCTGTTGCCATGGGGCGGGGCTGTTGCTACGGGGAGGGGTTTGTTGTCATGGGGCGGAGCTGTTGCTATGGGGAGGGTCCTGTTGCCATGGGGCGGGCTGTTGCTACGGGGAGGGGTCTGTTGCCATGGGGCGGGGCTGTTGCTATGGGGAGGGGCCTGTTGCCATGGGGCGGGCTGTTGCCACGGGGAGGGGTCTGTTGCCCTGGAGGGGTCCGTCCCTGTCCTCCACCGTCCTCAGGGTCCCACGCTCTGCGCCCTGCACTGTGGCCCGCTCCCAGGGCGGCCTGGAGACCCAGGCAGCGTCTTAAAGCCGTCTCCACGGGGACAGTGAGCCTTTTCCTTGCATTTGCTTTGCTTTTTTGGTGGCTTCAGACAGGGTCTGTCTGGGTAGCCCAGGTGGCCTCACAGTAGTGGAGTTCGTCCTGCCTCAGCCTCCCGAGGGCCAGGATGGCGGCGTGCGCCCCTGCGCCCGGCTCAGCCTCTGTTTTCTTTCTTTTCTTCTTTCTTTCATTCTTTCTTTTTCTTTCTTTCTTTTCTTTCTTTCTTTTTTTTTTTAAAAGACAAGGCCTCCCTAGGTGGCTCAGTCTGGTCTTGAGCTCGCTTTGTAGCCCAGGCTGGTCTTGAACTCAAAAAGACAAAAAGTACAAACAACAACAACAATCCACCTGCTGAGGGTCCTGTTGGGAGAGACAGAGGGACAGGCAGAAGGCAGGAGCTCGGTGCCCACCGGGGGGACGGCAGCAACAGTGTTAAGAGTTCGGGGCACCTGAAGCCTCGGGGTCACTGACTCCGTCGGTGAACCCTCGGGGACGCAGCGCCACCTGGGCAAGTGCTTCCTGCCCCTGGGACTCCTCTGCTCCTGCCGTGGCCCCGGCCGCCGTGGCCCCGGCCACCGTGGCCCCTCCCGGCCTCAGGCGCCCACGGGGCCAGCGTGCTGACGTGGGGCCTCCGTGTCTCCCCAGGTCCTCGCAGCTGCGTCCATGGCCGGACAGCGGAGCGCCTCGGGGATCTTCGGGACGCAGCCCGACGCCGGGGCCAACGCAGACTGGATGGCGGGCCTGTGCCCGCGGCTGTGGGATGTCCCGCTGCAGCACCTGGCCATCCCCGGTGAGGGGGCCAGTGGGCCTGCAGGGGAGGCCGAGTCAGTGCGCACCCGTGGGGGGCCCAGCGGCCGCCCCAGTCTCAATCTCAGTGCGCCCCGGGGGCGGGCGGCACAGCAGGCCGGGGATCGGACCCCTGTCCCGGCACTTGCTTGCAGGCGCTTTAATCCGCTGAGCTATTTGGCCGGCCCTGCAAATGCGATTAGAGACCCAAACCCAGCAGCAGGGAGAGGGCAAGTGCCCAGGAATAGATCTGAGGTCCCTAAGGGTGGCTGGACCCTCAAGGCCGGGTGTGGAGGCTGAGGCAGGAGGATTCCCCGAGTTGGAGGCAGTTTGGGCTACAGAGGGCGCCCCTGCCTGAAGCACAGTAAGAATGAACTGAAAATACGTGAGGTGAATGCAGACATGCGGAGGCCAGGAGGCCGAGGCCAGGAGGCCGAGGCCAGTGCGTCCCAGGCCCTGCTCTCTCCACAGTCCGGGGAGACCCTCCTGCCTCTGCCTCCTCCTCCTGGGGCTCTCTCAGGTGGCTCTGGGCTGTGGCCCCATCGCCCCTCTCTCTGCCTCCGTCTCCACCCCGCTTCTCTTCTGTGTCCTTGTCTCCCCTTTTGTCCCTAGTGAGGACACTGTTTAGCTTCATGAGGCTGAGGCAGGAGGGTCTCCCCTTCAGCTCCTCTGCAAAGGCCCTCTGCAGGGGTCCCCTTTCCCCATGCCCCTGTCCTACGCGGCAGGCAGAGGTCACCCCGTGGGTCTGGAGTCCACGGCAGGTGACAGGGGGCCCTCGGTGTGACGCCCCTCGCGTCCCCGCAGGTAGCCACGACACCATGACCTACTGCCTGAGCAGGAAGTCGCCCGTGTCGCACACACAGCCCCGGCTGCTGCGCGTCCTGAACTCGGCGCTGCCCTGCGTGACGCGGCCCGTGGTGCTGAAGTGGTCGGCGACCCAGGTGCGCCGGGGCCGGCCGGGAGGGTCGGGGTCCCCGGGCCGGGGGGTGGGGGGCCAGCTCCGACCGCCCTGTCTGCAGACGCTGGACGTCACGGCGCAGCTGGACGCGGGCGTGCGCTACCTGGACCTGCGCGTGGCGCACATGCGGGGCGGCCCGGCCCGGAACCTGCACTTCGTGCACAC